AAAAAAAAAAAAAAAAATATATATATATATATATATATATATATATATACCTAATATTAAAGTCACAATGAAACAGAAGTAGCAACAGATCTTCAGCATTGTGATGCACAGTACAGTCATGTCAAAAAAGAAAAATATAGGGCTTGGATTGGAGGCAGATCTGAATGTGAGCTTGCAGAATGTTGTAGGAAAATGGCTGTGTTTAAGTGTAAGGAATGATTTGAGAAGATCAGCATACATCACCATGGTTACATTGTGACATTCTAGTTGCGAGATCAAATAAAAAAAAGGGGTAAAAAATGCAATATAACATCGATAACTTGTACATAGATAGGGTACATTTTTATTTCATGCTGTTTTCAAAATCAAACTTAGCAGTATTTTGGTAGATATGCTAACGTGGACAGTTTGCATGACATGCCCTTATATTCGAGAACCATGAATGAAATTTTGCAAGGTAAAATAAACACATTGCAGACTATATTAAATATAGTTTGCAGGATGAACATGGTTTGCATCGGCAATGTGTTTCATTAGCGTGAATTATTATATGTCAGGAGCGTGAAACTATAAAATTTATCAAACATTTTCTTGTTCGTTAGCACATTGTTTAGGCTAACATTAATAAATGCCAATGTTTGATTTTAAAGTCAGAATGAAACGTGAGTCGCAAGCATCTTTTCTTTCCTTCTGTAACGTATATCCAAAAGAAATGGCTTCTCGAATGAGAAAAAAAAAAAAAAAAGAATTGGGGCGGGACTTGTTTTTGCCCATCGGGAACTGATTAGATCATTGTCGTTTGTAATCTCGTAAATTACAGGTTGTTGGGGGGGGGGGGGTAATTATTGTTTCATCCTCAAAAAAAAGTTATTTGTTGGCACTGATGCTTCCATGAAGAACCTTTAGCATACATTCATTCTTAAAAATAAAAGTTCTTTATTGGCATCTATAGGTCCATGAAGAACATTTAACGTCCATAGAAACTATCCATTCCACAAACAGTTCTTTATAGCGGAAAAAGGATCTTTGGATTTTTAAAATGTTCTTTATACTAAGTAAAAAAAAAAGGTTCTTTAAAGAAAATTTTGCTGAAAGGTGCTTTGGGGAACCAAAATGGTTATTCTATGGCATTGCTGTGAAAACCCCTTTATTAATCTTTACTAAAGAGTGTAAGGGGAAGTATTTATAATGTATTAATTTAATTTCTAGTAAACACTCCAATATTCAATTAATACGAACTGTTTTGATTTGACGCTTACTTTACGAACATTTTTTTTTATTTCTGTACACTCGTACTCTGTTGCCACATAATGTCCAATGTAAAACCAATTAAGTGCTGTTTTATATGATCTTTTTTTGTGTGTTTGTGACTGTATGATAGCTGAAGTGTACCATAAACAAACACTCTAATCCGTTAGAGGCTAAAAACAATCGCGTGAGGGGCAGTTTAGCCTCTCCCAGCTGGTGAGCTGAAGGGCGTCTCCCCAAGGCATCTGGCGTGTGTCCCCCAATAACCCCACACCCCCTCAACTACACACACACACATACTCACCCTTCCTCTGCGAGACCGTGATCCCCGCTGCTGTCAGGGCCCACTGGTCGCCATGGCAAACTCACAGGAACCTGAGCCTGTATTGTCAGAGCGTCCGATGTGTATGTCCCGCTCGCCGTCTCTTCTTTAGAGTCACAGCTCGGGTCCTTTGACACTCCTGAACACTGCAACAAATTGAGAAAGACGGAAGAAAGGAGTGAGGGAGAGGGAAAGAGGGAG